GGACGTACCAGCAGCCCCCTCCAGCAGATGCTTTTGACACCGAGACACAGGGGTACCAAACGCAGAACTACTGAGCCACCGATGCCCTCTTCCCTTCCCCCTTCCCTTCTGCCCCCTTTCCCACTGCTGGCAGAAAGCCGAGGCACAAACCAGACACGTGCGTAGTGGCACAAGAGGTGGCTCTCAGCTATGCTCCAGCCTTCTGGGTCATCTGTTTTTATTTATCGTTTTTAAAAAAGGAAAAAAAAGAAAAAAAGTTTTCCCCATCACCTCTTTCTTCTCCTCCCCCCAAAACTACCTGCCAGAACCAAATTCTTCCAAAAACTGTCACTGCATTGCAACAGAAAGGTCCCCCCTTCCCTCCTCTCCCTCCTGCCTTGCTGCGGAGGGCAGAGTCTGGCCGGTGGGCAGGAGAGGGGCGATGGCACCAGCAGGCAGGGGAGAGGGAGGCAGAAAGGAAGGGGTGAGAGGGACCAGGGACCTTCCTAGAAGAGATGGTGTCGCTAAAGGCTGGAGTAGATGTGGGAGCATCCAAATCAGGCCAGAGGGCCTGTGGCTCGGGGAGGGGGATGGTGTTGGAGTTGGCATGCAGGCCTGCAAGGGTGGAGGGGGGGGCTCTAGGGGAGTGGGAATGGTGTCCCCTGTGCAAAGACGGGGACTTTTTTTTAGATGCTTTATTTTTAGAGGGTTTGGGGAGAACTGGTATTGGGGGGGAGCACAGATAAAATGGGAAGGGAAGGAGGAAGATTTGCAGGTACAAGCAAAATCCACAGGCATGTCTGTAGATTACAGCAGGAGACTCAGCAGAGCAGAGGGGCAGTGCTATGAGAGTCACTCCTTCCCCAGCCCCCTTGGATTGAGGTGGAGGTGGTTCCCCTCGCCTGTACGTCCTGCTCACCACTCTTCTCAGACCGGTGTTTGGTGAGGCAGGAGGGGAGCCATGCCCAGTCCCTGGCCCCCAGGCACGGTCCCTGTGGGAGGAAGGATGGAGGAGGTGGGGGCCCTGATAGCTCTCGTCCCCAGCTGGGCTGGTTCAAGGGGGAGAAGAGAGCTTTGCCATTTCACCCTGGGCAGGAGGAGAAGAAAGGTCCTCCTCCGTTCCTTTGCTACCAGAGTGCAAAATCTCTTACTGACACCATCTTTGTAGCACACAGGAATGGAGCAGGACTTCCCCTGGAAAGAAATGCCACTGCTGGGATGGCCAGCGTGCATCTGGGTGCAACCGAGTGGGGAAGGGTCCTGCCCCACGCGGCTGCGCTTTGCCTCCGACTCAGATGGGGAGGAGGTCTTAGTGTGCAGAGAATTGGTTGGGGCCAGACTGAGCTCTCTGAAAAGCAGTCTTACTGTACTTGCCGTAGACTATACCTTAGTGCATCTTCTGCAGAATCTCAGATCCTGGCTGTCTTTAAAGCCTCGCCTAGGTGGCAGTAGTGACTCTCAAATAGAGCTCGTACGGACATCATTCCACACTCCTCATGATTTTGCTTCCAGTAAAGACATGGGTCTGGAAGCACACTGTTTTATTCCAGGATAGAAGTAATGTCTATGTGTGAAGACAGTCCCTAAAGGGAATTAATTCAGCAACAGCCTCCTGGACAATTCTCCCCAGCACAGACATCTCTCAGAGCACAAGAAGCAGGGTAGGCCTTGCAGCAGTGAGGAGCTCCATCCCCCAGGCAGCCACCCTGCTCCACGCAACGCTGGCCCCAGTGGCAGAGATCAGGAGCAGATCCAAAATCCATAGGTGCTTCCCTTGAGCATCCAGCCTATTCCCTGTAGCACCCTTAGGAGTCAGGAGGACAGGACACAGGTCTGGCCTGTGGTTGTGTAAACATCTCTTCTGGAGGACACCGAGGTTACCAGCCCTTCCCCTCCTCCCAGCACGACTCCTCTCCACCTGCCCCACAACGCTAGGGAAGGGGTAGAAAAACGTAGAGCTGCAGGGCCCAAGAGGGAAGGGGGGGGCAGTTGTTCTCCACTGTATATAGCCACCATTTCTACCTGCTCCTACCAGCAGACTTGTGCTGCCGGTGGCTCTCCCCGTGGCTTGTCCTCCTCGTGGCTTGCCCCCTTGGCTGGTGGTTAACCACTGGTGAGGATGGGAGAGGGGGACCAGCCAGCCCCGCGGACGCACCGCGCGGGACTGGGCACACATCCCTTGCTCTGTGGCTGCGAGTGAAAGCAATACTGTAAATAGGAGGGGTGTTTTTTGGAAGGAAGCCCCTCGGGCTTCTTTTTCTGTGGGCTTAGCCTAATATTTAGGCTTGGGAGGGGGTTACTTTATTGAGAGAGGTTCGTTATGACTGTGGCTGTGGGGGGAGCTCCCTCCAGTCCGTTTCTCCTGCTGGGGGAGAGGAAAGAACAAATGACGAGGTGGAGGAGGAGAAAAACTAGTTGTACTCACCCAGACTCATCTGTGTCATCCTTCATGCTTTCGTTTTGGGTGTGTGAAGGGAACCAAGAGGAGGAGGAGGAGGCTATAAATAACCAGCCCTCAGCACAAAAATGTGTTGTACTTTTGGGGAGGAACGGCCCATCACCTGTCCCCTCTCCTCAGTGAGGGGATGAGGGACCAGGCGCATGAGGAGAGGTATGGACCATACGTGGGAGTCTACCTGGGGCTCTGTTTTGGGGTGTAGCACAGAAGTATCTTACATGCCCCTTCTCCCATCAGAGTTACGTAGATGGCTAAACACCATTTGGGGCTGACTAATGAGTAAGCTTTTCTTTATCCTCTTTGGCTTGCTTCCCTCATCAGCTGATGGGCTCTGGTGGGCTTGAGGTAGGAATGAGCCTCCCCCTCAGAGCTGGCACTTCAGTGAGAGATGAGCCAGGTGGCTTCATCCTGGGTTACTGCCCATCTTTCTGTCCCTGTCCTCCTTGCTTTGTGTCATAAGAAAGGCATCAGTGTGGCAGGGGACACTGTAACAGTAGTTACTTGGGCAACTTCTTGCTTTTGCTCATGGGAGAAGGCATACTCTCCATGGGTTGACATGCTTTTAGCCTTTGCAGTGGAGGGTTGGTGGTGGCAGACCTGAGGGTTGGACTCTCCCTGTCTGCATGTAGCTCTTTAAAATGCAGTTTCCGGTGGCATTTGGCTGGTTCTGCAGCTGATGAGAGATACAGACCTGCCCAAAGGGTTGGTTATCTTATCTTAGGCACTTCTGATAAGGTGCTGCCTATTTCTGGTGATCGTAGGCAAGACCTGAGCAGCTGGCTGGAACATGTCCCTTTTAGATCTTAAACGTGGGTGAGATCAGCCCCATTCTAGGGATTAGGAGATCAGAGGGAAGGCTGTATAAGCAAAACGATAAGGCGGCTTTCTTCCCCCTCTGCCATTTGTCCAGATTACAGAGGATTACGCATCCCCTGTTGGGAGCAATGGCCCCTTGATGTCTTATCTTATGAAGCCCCCAAGTAAGGGACTGTTTTGTGGAAGTAAGGCTGTGAAGGGCAAAGGGATGATGAAACTGCCCCAGTGCTACCTGTGGCTTCAGTCTCCTGACATGTCCCCATCCCCGGCTCGCCCATGTCCCCACCACACCGTTCATCTCCTCATCGCACACCCTTCCCCTCCGCGTGATTCCTGGCAGTTCCCTCAGGGGAGGAGGTGGCTTTGTCCCTGCACCCTCACAAGCACTTGGGAGGAGGACCCGGGAAGGCAGCGTTGCGGTGTGGTTCCCACGGGAGTCTTGGCTCCGATCCCCAGAGCA